TGGGTGGGAGGTTGACCCCTCCGAGTAATCCTGTGATAGCAGTTTCGGACCGCACAGCATCCCCAGGTGATGCTCCGGTAACCCGCAGAGCGTGTGCGAAATTGCTGGTAAGAACCGGCCTTAGATGCTTTGCCTGCTTCAGGCACGAACAACACTGCGTCTGTGGTGCAAAACAGTTCCCTATTGCCATGAGCGTTGCTGCTGCTGCTGCTGCTGCTGCTGCTGCTGCTGCTGCTGCTGCTGCTGCTGCTGCTGCTGTTGCTTGTTGTAGCTGTCGTGCGCTTTCCTGTCAGTGTTCCCAGTTTCCTGGTGATGGTGATAGATTGACAGTGATAGCATGTCTCGACTGAACAGACTGTGAGGTGACATATCCGCCGCCAACTCGGCGATGTGTGCCTGGCAACTTCGGTAACACAGGCATGTGTTAATTGCGAAAGTTTAGGGTGTAGGGGTTTAGGGCTTAGGGAGTGACACTCCTCGGTGCCAACTACAATTGAACACACAGCTACTTTATCCACTGAGCTCAGAACAACAGGTTGGGAGTTTCGGTACTCAGTGTAAGGACCCCCGCAAATCCTACCCTAATCGCAAAAAGGCGTAAGTTTCGATTGGAAGCCCTCAACCCTGCACACTAAAGCCCTTGTGGAACCGAATATAAGACCCTTTAAAGGAACCTGACCTCTAAACAACAAAACCCTAAACCCTAAACCCTAAACCCTCCTTCGTACATCCGGGGGGCAGGGGACCGCTTGTCGCTTCCCTGCCGGACTTTGTTGTTTCGCGCCCCCACCTGGAAAGCCGGTTCGGAGGCTCGAGACCCGATGCCCTCAAAGGGTTAGGGTTTAGGGTTTAGGCTTGAAAGGTACAGGGGACCGACCTTTGTGATCTTTATAAGATTTTTGGTTTCTGTCTGGGTCCATGCAGGGCTTCTGATAGCAGCGATCCGATATACAGTGATAGGATTTCAAGGCTTGCTGTTCGTTTCGGCATCTGATCTCCAATGATTCCAAAGTTCTCTCCCTGAGCATGTCGTCCTGGTGCCTCTGCACTGCCATAGACCCCTGCAATGTCCAGGACGAAGGGCTTCCAGACGAGGTCCACGTAGAAATCATCCTCGACAACAGGGGAGGCAAACCCGAAACCTCAACAAACGAACTTCGCGAAGGATGTTTGAAATTTCCTTGAGGCTTTATGCTGACTGGGTTTTTGAAAGGCTTAGATTTACGGGTTGCGGTCCATGGTGCGCTTGGATACGGCTGCAGACTGTCCGAGCAGCCAAGCAAGCAGGCATGCAAAAGAGCAAGTATGACTGCGTGCAAGCAAACAAGCTATCATGCCACGCCCCAAGGCGTTCTGTTGCAGCTCAACTAAGAGCATCCCCGTATCGCCCTATGTAGAATATAGTGCAATGGACCCGGCAACCCTATGCGAATGACCAAGACACGTGCATTCGTGGTGAGTTAACGAGAACGTTCATTCCTAACGAATCAAGCAGACAATGGCTGAAATTGAAATCCGAGATGTGCCCGACGTGTTTTGCCGCAGATCATGGGATGCTTAGAGAAGCTCCATTTCGAACCCGCCTATGTGTGTATGTACATGGAATATTGTATGTGTATATGATATACTGTATGTGTGCACACTTATGCAATGGTTGTCCCTACCCATGAAATTGGAATCGCCATCCTAAACCTTTGAAGCCGTAAACCTGATCTTGAAAATCTTGGTCTGAAGCTATGCCTAAGTGGCCCTAACTTCTAACACAGTGTGCTCAGCCCTCAATTCCATACCCTATTTCCCCAAATCCTAAACCGTCAACTAGCCGGCAACAATTGAGAACGAGGTTGATCTCAAAAGAAAACAAACAAGGCTCTATGCCTCAGCTTTAAGGGACAACAGGAGGGACCTTTAGAAGGGACCCCTAATCCAAATACCCAATATAACCTTATATTCCCCTTATAGAGTCTCATGAAGCCCCCATATAACCCCAAGGGTCCCTTTAAGGGTCCCTTCTGTGGTCCCTTGACGGGTTTTGAACGGGGACCCCTCCATAAAGGTACGTTAACCGTGTTCTGCTTGCTCTCTCTCGAGGGCCTGGGCAAGGACAGCCCAGATTGCTTAGGGTTCAGGGTTTAGGGTTTAGGGTTTAGGGTTTAGCAGATTGCGAACTTGAGAACAACTCATACTACCGCGATCATCTCCCTGATATCTTATACTGCCTCTGGCCTTAAACAATCATATGGGGGTTTCCGAAATCGGGGACCCTAATATAGGACCCTAAATAGTAGGATCCTTGTCATAAGGACCTCAAAATAAGGCACCTCGAATTTTCGGAAACTCCCATATATCTAAAACCGTCGTGGCCTGGACAAATCCCGCGGGCCTCCAGTGAGTAGGTCGGCTCAATGGCCAAGTAGGCGTAGGGACTCTTCCTCCAGCTCCCAAAGGGGTTTAGGGTTTAGGGTTTAAAGCCCCCAAACCCTTATAAGGGTTAAGGGTTCAGGTTGTAGCCCCAAATACCAAAACCCTTGTAGATAGCTTTCCCCTTGGCTTGTAGATCCCTAACCCCTAAACCCCGAAACCCCAAATACCAAAACGGTTCACATGAAGCATGTCGGTGTTTGCCCCAAACCTAAACCTTATAAACCCTAAGAGGTTTCTCGAAACCCAAACCCCTCCCTGAGGCTCCATGTGCCCATAGATTACCTCCAAGGGTTCTATGAGGTTTAGGGTTATATGAACTTCGCGGCCAGGGACTGTGTGCCGCAGTCAAACATTGAATTTGGAGTTTGATTGGCGTTCTTTTGGTGTTTGAGTTTGGCGTTTTTGTTTGGAGTTGTGTTTTGTTTGTTTTTTTTGGTGTTTGCGTTTGGCGTTTTTTTTGAAGGGTTTAGGGTTCAAGTTCTTTGTGTAAAGGACCATGTAGCTATGCAGTATATACTTATAGGGTTTAAAGTGTTACGTGTGGATGTAAGCGATTTTCCACTGATTTGAAAGGTTGCCTCTTTATGGCTTGAGTGCTTGAGCTTGAGGGTTTAGCAAGGGAGCCTAATCCTAAACCCTGAACCCTAAAAGTCCCACGCTACAAAGCGCAGGCAGCCCAGCGTCAGATCCACGTACACGTCCAGGCGTTTCCTAGGCCATGCTCTTTCTTCAGGAATTCCGGGATCATCTCGCATTGGGCTTCAGGTAATGTAGAGGCCTTAACAATTGGAATAGGGTTTTGGGGCCCATTATGCTGTAATCATAATAAGGAACCCCCAAAATGGTATTGGTAATTACGAAGGCCCCTACAACAAAGAAGCCTGGAGCGTTGCATTGGGCCCCATTTAGCTTTCCTGCAGCGGCGGCAAGCCCCGCCCAGCCCTTGACACTTTTTTACACAGGCCCGGCCAGACTTCCTGCGGCACATCGTGCTCGTGGCGAAATGCTCAAGGCTAGGTACGCGAAATCTTCACTATCTTGCGAGCCCTTGACCCTGAACCCTGAACTCAAGAAGTCCTTTCAAAATGCCAATAATAACAACTTCTAGTGCATTTTCGCAGTGTGAGCTCTCTCTCTCTCTCTCTCTCTCTCTCCTAAGCATGAGGACTGGTCAAGGTCCCCGGGCGTCAAGCCCACCCGAATATTATCGGGCAACGGGGACTGAAGCACGAACATAACTCATCAATCGGCTAAGGCCACAAAGACTGCGACAGAGAAACTTTGATGAGTGTATGTTCTCACTGACAACATTTGTCTGGGCACAAAGGGGGATTCCTCCCAAAGTCTGCGAAAAAGTCCACGTGCATCCTTGGACGTGGGAGAAGAGAACATGCTGAATACTTTTGTATGCTAATTCTTGTTGGCGGGGGAAAACATGTTTTTTAGAGCAGTGTGAGCTCGATCTCTCTCTCTCTCTCTCTGTCTCTCTCGCTCCCAGGCATTCGAAACGTCCAGCCAAGCCTGACCTGAACCCTAAACCACGAATCCTCAAGCTAACTGGTTACTGACTTTAGGGTTTAGGGTATAGGGGTTTAGGGGGTTAGGGTTTAGGGGTTTAGGGTTTAGGGGTTTAGGGTTTAAAAGTCTAGGGTTTAGGGTATTCAGCTTTTGGATAACCATGCCGTGTGAGCCCTACACCCCTGAGCCCTAAACCCAAACCCCTAAACCCTAGACCCTAAACCCTAAAACCTAAACCCTAAACCGTAACGCCTAAGCCCAGGAGAGCGTCCGCCGCGTCGGGTTACCACTCGCTCGCACCGGGGGCGAAGGTCCGAGAGCCTGCGGTCAGAATAAACCCGAAACCCGAAACTCTAAACCTAAAACTTCTGAAACCTTACACTCTAAACCCGAAACCCTAAACTCTATAAGCCCGAAACCCTAAACAAAACCCTAAACTCTAAACCCGAAGCCCTAAAGGGAGAGTAACCGCGATGAGGGTTTTTGACGCTCGCACTCGGGCGTGTCAAGGCAAGGTCTGGGGGTTCAGGTGTTAAGCTGGGTTTAGGGTTTAGGGTTTAAGGTTTAGGGTTTAGGGTTTAGGGGTTCAGGAGTTAAGCTGGGTTTAGGGTTTAGGGTTTAAGGTTTAGGGTTTAGGGGTTCAGGAGTTAAGCTTTGATTTTTTGTGTAAGTGCTTTGGGACTTTCTCTCCGCAAAGGTCGAGTCGGAGTTAAGCTTTAGGGTTGAAGGTGTAGGGCTTAGGGGTTTAGGGTTCAGGAGTTAAGCTTTAGGGTGGAAGGTTTAAGGTTAAGGGTGTTTAGGGTTAAGGAGTGAAGGTTTAGGGTCTTAGTAAGGTTTAGAGTTTAGCTCTTTTTCAGCACGGGCATAGGGTGTGCGCCGGCAAGCTGGAACCTGAAGACACCAAGCAAACTGGCTAAACCCTAAACCCTAACCAGGACATTTTCAGGTGGGCAGTTACCGTTATAGGAGCCTTGTAGAAGGTCTATATACCTTTTTGAAGCCTTATAGAAGCCCTATATACCCTGAACTCCCCACCTGTAGTTTCCTTGAGCCCTACAGCGGGTTAAGGTTAAGGATTCAATTTAGCAACGAGAAGCCCTAAGGGTTTAGGTCCCAGGGAAACCCTGAGTTGTGGGGGTTTAGGGTTTAGGGTTTAGGGTTTAGGGTTTAGGGTTTAGGGTTTAGGGTTTAGGGTTCACGGTTTAGGGTTTAGGGTTGATGACCAATGCTTTCGTGTTCTAGCATCACAGCCAAAAAATGGGGGGGGGGGGGGCTTGAAGAACTGCTGTACTATTCTGGGGGGATTCCTCGTTAAAACGATGGTATCACATACTCCCAAACCCCGTTCTACTCATCATTAAAGCCGTTTCCTAAATACTTCCGACCCGCCACGGCTTGAAGGCGGACCTTCCAGGTCCCTAAACCCTCAACCCCAAAACCTTAAAAGCCTAGACACCCCAGATTTTGGAGATAGGAAGGTTGTGGGTCTTAGGTTCAGACTAGTGTGCCTCAAGCTTGGGATTTAGGGTTTAGGGTTTAGGGTTTAGGGTGTTTCCCTCTTTAGGGTTTTTGGTGTAAGGTTTGGGATTTAGGGTGGGATATGGGGGGATTAAGATCAACTTCTTGAGCAAACAACTTCAAATACCTTGCCACAAAACCAACCGTAGACTCCACACCCAATATACACACCCACACACAGAACCCCACCACTCTAAATCTGGACCCGCGCCCCTTTAGATCTAAGGTAGAACCCATGGGCCCCTAGTATGGGCCCTTAACCCTGGGACCCTAATATAGCTACTATATACCCTATATATACTCTTAAGGGACCCTAGAATCCCCTCTGCCTCTTGGACTTCCGGCACATCGAAGCCACGTCCTGGTCCGGAAAAGGGCTTGCCGGCTTAGGCATTGTCTTAGGAGTTGGGGACTGAGACTCAGTCACTGAGTACCTGGGCGGTTTTGAGGAGAGCAGGAATTCGCGGGTTTGGTCGTTGAGGCCCCCATCTCAGAGTTTGGGGTTTAGGGAGTTCAGGGGGGGTTGAAATTAGGTTTAGGGTTAGGAAGTCGAGAGGCTTGGGGCTTACGGTTACACGAAAGACCGAAAGGGCAGGGCCTTGCGCCTGCGTGACGTCAGAGTCTTGAAGGCTTATGAGGCAAAAGGGTTATTTTCAGGGAACCCCTAAACCCTAACCCTAAACTCCGTGGTCAAAGTCTCCAATGCAAGCCTCATTTCCAAGAGCCTTCAAGCTCTCATCCTAAGGACTTCGGTCCTAAACCCTAAACTCCTGAACCCTACACCCCTAAACCCTATATCCCTAAACCCCAAACACCGAAACCCTACATACTTAAAGCACTGGCTTCAGGGCTGAGGCTTGCGACCAAAGTTTTGAAACCCCAAACCAAGTCTTGGAACCCTCAAAGCCCTAAGCCCCATGTATTCCGTACTTAAGGAACAGTATACTAGGGTCACCGATATTGTCAGGCACATCCTCCTTGCTTAAGGGGTATTATACTAGGGCCACTTGTAGTTTAAGATATAGAGATTTTAAGGTCTATATAAGATCTATATATATATATATACACATAGATCTATCTATATATATATATATACCCTAAACCCTAAACGATTATATATATATATTTATTATTGTTATTAGTATTATTATTAGTATTCCTCAAGGTGTACTGGGCTCTCTGGGTGCATGGGATGCAGCCCGAGGCTCGGCGTAGGTGCAAGGCTAGCAGAGGAAAGGTGGTCCCGTCAATATAGACCTCCAAGAGGGTTTGGGGCTTAGGGTTGGGGTTTAGGGTTTAGGGTTTAGGGTTTTAGGGCTTTGGGTATAGGCTTTAAGGTTTACGGAGTACGGTTTAAGAATTAGGGTTTAGGCAAACTTACACCCAGAATCGAGCATGCACAGGTATTGAAAACGTGCATTCGTACGGCTGTAGACAAACATTGTAGGACTTCCCACAGAGCTCACCTTACCCCTTAACTGAACTAGGCTGGAATCATGATTTGAATCACACCAAGAGGATCTAAGGACCGCTTCATGGTTTAAATGCTCTTCCTTACACGGGGCATTGGGCTTTCTGCCTCCACAAGGGATTTTAAGCTTTCGGGATCTAGACTTAGGATCTTGCGTTCTTGTGCACTATAGGATCCGCAAGAATTTGAACCGGGGTTTGTGGTATATTATACCAGAACTGATGTAAATAATTGTTTACCATAAACGATTTTAGCGTTGGTGATTATTTTAGCATTCTGTTGCTCGGGCAAACCTGGACGACCACACCTTCTTTTCGCAGCTGCGCCCGATACACTGTACTAGAAACCCCGTGGCATATCTAAGATTAGCCGAACCGAATGAGTCTAGCGTTCATAGGGCATAGGAATACTGGTTCCCTGTTGAGGCTATATCAACAATAACCATGTTTAATCCTTATTGGGTCTTATTACAACAATATGTAAGACTGTAGCCAACAAGGATCCAGAATAGAGGGGGGATAGGAGCTCGGAGCTGTGATCCTGAATCAAAAGGCCTGCACAAGCACTGATGTCAGCCACCCACCCTCAGCCAGTTCACACGGTCCTGTCTGTCTTGACCACGCAGCCTCTACCAGTATGCATGGATTGAGTTAGCCCTTGAGCTTCATAATCAAACCCTGAACCCTAAGCATTACAACAAGACGAGGGCATTTTTCATTGCTGTGGGCTGCTGCTGCTACCAGTACATGGGCAGTAGCACCGGGAGCCACCAGCACACAAAGACACCAACTTCCTCCAATAAGGAGTAACGCCAATCAATGTTGGCGAGGGTATATGAAGGGATCCATACTGTGGTCCGTGACACTTGTGCAGCCCGTCTACAAATCTCAAGAGGCCTTTTGATGAAGACCTCTGCACGTTATATTGAGGTAGCATTTGTTGAAACCATGGACTGACTTGAAGTCCTTGTTCTTTTGCAGCAGTAGACTACATAACCCTAAAGACTAAACCCAAAACCCTTTGCATCCAGGCCTAAACCCTAAACCCCTAAACCCTTATGGAGGTTTTGGGACTACCCCTAGGCACCATAGTGTTTCCTTCTTGTGGCTTATATTTAGGATCCTATTAGGTAATCCCAAAAGGAACTACTATGGGGCCTAGAACCCTAAACCCTAAACCCCTTTTGGGGCCTATGGGTACCAATAACAGGCCCGGTTTCTGAACTCTAAACTCCAAACCCTAAACCCATAACTCCAAACCCCTAAACCCTAAACCCTAAACCCTAAACCCTAGAACCCTAAACCCTAAACCCTCATTGAGGCCTATGGGGCTACCTACAAACAGACCCGGTTTCGGCGCCTCCTTCGACTCGCGGTCCACAATGAAAGGCGTCGCCCAAACGCTGTGCTCCGCCTTCTAGGGTTTAGAACTTAGGGCTTAGGGGTTCGTGTGTGTATATATATGCACATGTATTATGTATATATATATATATATATGTATGGGTGTATCTAACTATATCTTCATGTTTCGTATTTGTATCTAATGGTATGCTCATTTCACATTTATGGTCCAGGATGTTTTGTCAGGTGTCTTGTTTCCGTCGGGTGCCTACTGCTTGCCAAAAGCATGTGTTAGATAATAGACTTTTATGGGTCTTGGGCCATTATGTTACCTACCTTGGGGGGGTTTAGGTACTGGTTTCCACCCTTAGGACATTGTAGCGGCAACATGTTGCTTCGGACCTTTCTAGACCATGACGGGAATAAGGGACTGGATAAGTCGATAAGCAGGTGATGATCACTAACAACCCTGACGGTCCTGGTAAGTCCCCTAAAGTCCACCAAAATACAAACCTACAGCCCTAAAGCCTAAACCCGAAAGGCCCTAAACCCTCAAGAAAGAAAGCCGCATTCCAAGTATTAAGGCCCATTTCTGCGCTTAGGGATCTGCTGGCCCGAGCCTGCTGGAGGTGAATGAATTATACTTTGGGGAGCCTACCAAAAAAAACGTAGGCTATGGTCAGTTTTGGTATCGTAGTCTAAGATAAACCCTACACGAATTGCCATAATTAAGGCTCCATATGGCCCCATGTGTCCAGATAGTGCTTAGGCCTTAGATGGGTACCTATATAGGCACTTTAAGCCTGAATACATACTCTATGGAGCATGAGGGCTAATTGTTGGGCACTGTACAAGGGATTCCCACTGTTTCTGCGGTGATGGAGAAGGGCTGTTGCTTGCGGTTTATAGTAGCACTGCACTACAACCGAAAACATACAGCAAAGCTTTTGAAACAGCCTCAGACGCCGTAAAGTAGTCCTAGTCATCTTAAGAATAATCCTACCCTAAACCCTAAACCCTAAAACCCTTAATAACAACAACAATCATACTGCAATGATAGCATCGCACCAACCCTTCCCGCCTCCAGCTCACGATCTTCCCTCCTGAAATTGGGATTTACTCCATTCTTCAATAACCAGGGTTTAGGGTTTAGGGTTTAGGACCAAGAAAGTTCAACCCTCCGAAGATAGACAAATGTAGGGGCCTTAATATAATCATAATAAGAACCCACCCAAAATATTTTTGGTAAGTATTTAAGCCCATATATTAGATATGACTAGATAGACCACATACAAAAAGCCCAATAAGTTTAAAGTTCTCCCCTTGGCGATCAAAGTTAACAGGGATAAGCGGGTGAAGGCTCAAAGTTCTCCGGTCTGTGCTTTTGCATGAAGCCACTGCAAGCCCTTTGCCTTGGGGTCTGGTCTAGTACACTTTCTTGCAAAAAGAAGCAGGCAATACCATGAATGCTCCTATGAAGCTCGCAAAATCCTGGAGTTCTAAAGCTCATCAATCCCTGCTCTAGGCACAAAAAAAACTCCGAAGACCAACAGGGTACAACCCAATCCAGCCAGCCGCCGCTGTACATCTATGGCACTGCGACCCAAACGCTCTTGGACTGATACGAGCATCCCAAACCCAAATCAAAAGTACGCCCCAAACCCAAATCCCTCATGCATGACCATAATGGGATTTCACAGAAATCTTGACATAGTCTTCTTAAGTGAGATATCCCTACAAAGTGGGAGCGTTTCATATTTCCTGTGTGTGTATTTGTTTGGTCCCTATCTTAACACTGAAGCCGCAAACCTGAAACAATAAACACTCCAAAAGCCCTTCCTTTAAAAACTGATGTGCCTCTTTGGCCCCTTAACGAATGCTAATAACAAATGATCGTACTGGTTATGTTGGTCCCGAACATACTACGAGTACCCAACACGTGCTACAATCCTGAACCTGGTACCTAGCCTTTTAGGCGCTTTGGGCCCTTTGTATTAGAAGCGCGAACCAAATCAGACCAAACTTGTGCGTTACACAATACTGAAAAATACCGATAAAACCCTTCTGGCGCCCTCATGAAATAAAGCACGCCACAAAACAGCTTCTACAAAATTAAAACCTTATAGCACCCGGGTTCAAAGGTGTACAAGTGACAGATAAACTCTGCTTGCATCCGGGGTTCAAAGCACTCTCCGCCTCTGTCCTTTGCCACTGCAGGAACCTCTCCTGCGAATGTCGCCAACTCTTTGTTGCGAGCGGTTTAGGGTTTAGGGTTTAGGGGGCCCCTGACCCTAAACCTTAAACCCCAAACGCTCGCCCTAAATCTAAACTGCTGCTTGGGTGTTTTAATAGTGCGGAAGTGCCCTTGATGCCTCAGCTTGCTTCTTGGCGTCGGCGTTTCGCAGGGATTGAAATGGTGTTGGTACGTTACGCTGCAAAGTGTAGTTCGGAGATCAGCCCACAACCCTTGGGCGCTTAGGATGAAGCATCGAAGGCTTGCCGCGTGCATGGCTTCAGGGATAGGGAATGCACTGGGAGGGCATATGTTTGCTGCTTGAGGTTTTTTGGATTCAAGGATCAACCCTGAATATACAAGCCTATACCCTACGTAGGCCTGCACATTAAACCCCGAGTCCTAAAACCAAAACTCTGCCCTAAACCCTAAACCTTAAAACTCTGAACTTGACAAAAACTAGGGCATGAGGGTGCTCACGGTTTGGCGACTATGAAGTTGAATCTTGCCCACACCCAAGACGCACTGACATCACCGACGGCTTAAACCCTAAACCTTTAAACCCTCAAGCCCAAAACCATAGAGTCCTAGAGTTTAGGGTTCTGAGAGTCTTCGGCTATTGCTGAACCCCTAAACCCTAAACCCTAAACCCTAAACCCGGCCCCAAATCTGAAAAAACTCCCTCATTTTCAGGCCGCAGGTCTGAAAGCCTCCCCTAAGGCTTCGCATATCATGTAGGGGCCTTAATAATTAGAATAGGGTTTCTGGGGGTTCCTTTAAAGGGTTCTACAGGGGCTACTATGAGGGTTTAGTGTTTAGGGGCCTTAATAATTAGAACAATTTTTTTTGGTTCCTTTAAAGGGTTCTATAAGGGATCTACTATAAGGGTTTAAGGTGTAGGGGCCTTAATAATTAGAATAGCGTTTTGGGGTATGGTATACTATAATCATAATAAGGAGCCCCAAAATAGTATAAGTAGTTATCAAGGCCCCTATGTTACTTTAAGGCCAAAGTATCTTACTATATGGGCTCATTTGCCCTTAGGGCCTTAGTAGGGTCATTGAAACAGCAACATTCCATCCCACATCGAGACTTTTTGCATCTGGTTTACAGCGACTACCTGAAACCCTAAACCCACATCGAGCCATATCGAGCCTGAAAGCACGAAAGCATCAAGCCCGAAGCCACGATCCGTAGAGCTCACCGCTCTGCTATGAGATATATCAAAGGTCTCGGCTTCGGTAGGTCACTTTCGCTCTTTGCCCGGCTTCTTTAGACATTCTCGGTTAGGAGTTCAAAAGTTATAAGGCTGTGTAGGTTAGAGCAAGTGTTGAGGCTTACAAATCGAAGTCCTGGACTCCTGAACCCAGAGCCGTGCGTCCCAAAGCCGTGGCCCCGGAGACTTAATGAAACAAAACCCTGACTAGGTGCAGGGTTTTGGGTTCCGTGAAGGGTTCAGGGTTTGGGCTTCCTTGAAGGGTTTAGGGTTTAGGCCTGACCGGTGTGGGAGTGTAGAATTTGGCTTGGCCTCCGAGCCACCACTTTCCACGATGATCCTGTGCGATGTGCGGGTGACGGGTTCTGATTTAGGCTTGATAGTCGGTTGCTGCGTCAGTTTACAGCTTGTACAACCCAAGGTCAGGGAAGATAACTTTCAATCTACCTACCAGTCTCCATTGTAGTTAAATTGTTTGGGTTACCTTTTGTATGGAGACTATTAGGTACGTGCTTGCAAGGGCCCCCCCTCGGCTTGTAAAGGCACCTCCTCATGGACGGCTCGTCCAGCTCTGGTACTCGGTGTGATCCATCAAAGACCTCGAGCCAACATTCCCAAAACTTCGGATCAATGGACACGGTAATGTAGGGGCCTTAATAATTTTAATAGGGTTTGGGGGTTCATTATACTATGAATACGATAAGGAACCCCAAAAACTGTATAGGTAATTATGATATGTAGGCTCCTATAGTACAGGGACCCTTTGGGGATGACATCAAGGGGTGAAAAATCCTGCTCCCGCCAAAGTGCAGTGCGTGTTTGGGGCTGTGCATCCTTCCTTCAATTTTTTTGGGGGCCCTAAACCCTAAACCCTAAACCGGGGTCCTTATTATAAGTATAGTAGAGGGGCCCCAAGACCCTATTCTAATTAGTAAGGTCCCTACATTGCATGTTTTGGGCGTGACTCTGTCCGCCTCCCGAGGAAGTATATGAGCTGTGTTATGTGTGCTGCGGTGCCAAGCATGCTCAGTTGAACTCATCCCAAAGGTGGTCCTGATTTCTTGATCAAGTTAGATGATCGTGAACTCTTCGAACCATTCATCCAGATCTGATGCGCTTGAAAAACCTCCACTGTTTACACTCCCACAGTCTATAAACTCTGAACCCTACACTAATGTTCGGGGCCTTGGCTCTCGGGGCCCATATACTATACTTATGCTAAGGAACCCCCAAAATAGTATTGGTAACTATTTAGGCCCTTATAGTACCCTAAAGGCCTAAAGCAAACCCTAAACACTAAACCACTGAACCCTAAACACTAAACAGTAAACCCTAAACCCCTAGACCCTAAACCCCTAAACCGTCGAGCTGCCAGAGCGTAGCAGCGGCGCAGAAACGCCTGTGCAACTAGTGGGGCCTCGCCTCTCGTCACGTAGGCCTCGGTTTCACGGGGGTTTAGGGTTTAGGGCTTAGGGGGTTCAGGGTTTAACGGGTTTAGGTTTACACAGGGCTAAAGGACTCCCCACCAGGAGGTTCCCGAGGAGGTGCACAGCCGCTTCCCCCACTGGACCTACATGCCCTACGTGTCGTGGCCCTTCGAGGCCTCTGTGCTCCAGCTCTTTCTGGCTAAGCTCCGCCTCCCTGCATTGGCCGCTCCAGCCACCTCCCAGCAGGTTGTTCTTTTCACGGATGCCAGTGCCTTGCATACCACCTGCCCCACCGCACGGGTGACGGCGTGGACCGTTGTGCTGGGGCGACCACCCTCACATGCCCCTGACCTCGTCGCGTCGGACTTGGAGCCAGCGTCCCTACTTGCTGGGTTTTCGGTTTTAGGACAGGGTTGCACACCTGGGCCACAGACTGTCCCAAGAGCCGAACTCGCCGCCCTCGCTTGGGCCAGCAATTGGGCCAACCAGTGCCCGACCAGTCAGGTCACAGTGTACACAGATTGTCAGCCCGCGCTTGACCTCTGGAACCGTTGGCTTCGCTTTGGGTGGGAACAGGTTCGGGGCTGCACAAATGCCGATCTGCTTCAAGACATCGCCCGTCCTACTTCCGTGCGGGCCTGCCAAATCAAGGCCCATCGATCCCAGGCCGAGCTACTTCTGACTTCTTGCTGGGATCAGTGGCTCGCAGCTGGCAACGACGCAGCTGATGCGGCGGCAAAACAGGCCTGTCGCGACTTGCCTGCCGCAATCCAAGCAATGGCCCACCAAGCTGCCCAACACTGCCAGAGTCAACAACGCCTCCTGCAGCGCTTCTTCCGGGCGGTTCTTGAGATGGGCGTACTTGATGCATACAAGCGCCGACAAGAAGCTCGTTCTCAACATGCGCTTCAGACGGCTCAGGTTGCTTCGGCCTCGAACTTGACTGATTTGCTGGAACGCTTTCGGACATGGCAGGTGCCCCTGACGGGGCCCTTGCCTATTCCGGAGGCTTGGGAGGAAACGTGGGAAAATGGCCTTTCGGACAACAGTATTGGGCGTTCTCTTCTGGAGTGGCTACAACGACTGCGCTGGCATGCACAACCTTCCGCCCCAGCGGATTCCTGGGAAGTGTCCTACCTGGTGATGTTGCTCAGCTTTTGTGACTGTGCGGCCATACCGCCGTTGGTTGAGAATGTCTTCCAGCCCGGTACATACTGGTCCCTGGTACAGGCGCGGTCGCAATTACAGCATGTCAGTCTTCGACAGCTGGTTACATGTTTCCGAGCTGCCCTTTTGCAGCTAGGCAGACTTCTTGGGCAAACAAACCATCTTCCCGTGTGCTGAGATCAAGGACGTGGCGTATCTACGCTTTCTTCACATCTCAGCCCCGAATGCTGGCCTGGCTGCAAGGCCCTTTCTTCCCGGCACTGGCTGGATTCAGGTGTTGGAAAAGCTAGCAACTTCGGACTGCGCGTTCCACAAAAGTTTAAAAGGTTTCA